CTTTCCATTGGGAGTAAGCCTCCTTTTTGGCAAGGAGACATTCCCGGATGTTTTTAGTGAGCCATGGAGGCTTATATGCTCTCCTGCCCCCTTTGACCCTCCTGGGGATTACCTTCCTCTGGATCAGTTCACTGATCCATGAAAGTTTCCAGTCCTCCCTCCTCCCCCTGCCCCCAAATAGTTACTAATTTTAAAACAGGTAGGTTGCTCAATGTAGAGTGCATCTTACCTGTCTCCTCTTCCCACTCTTTCCCATATAGTTGTATCCAGCTACTTTAACATTTCAGTAATATGCATCATTCCCAATAGGTTTTAGTGTGTATTTGTCATTTTATGTTTAATTTTGTTCTTTATTTACACCTCTAGCAGTGGTATTTTAAGCATCCAAAATTATTTTATTCACATTCTTTTCTTAAATTTCTTCTACCTCAAGCCTTGTGTTTTATGTTTGAGCTTGCATATTATGTTCTACTCCCTTGGCATCCTCCCTTGTTGATGCTTGTTTAAATTCCTTCAGGCTGCTGTAGGTCATCTGCTACTCAGAACGTTGGTTTTCCTACTGTTGGGGTGGAAATGATCCAAGCTGTATATCTTCCTTTCCCTACAGGTGGCCTCTAGTATTCTACAAAACCAAAACTCTTTAACAGAGTAAATTAGTTTAGCTTCAGTATCTTGTGCTGTTTGCATCTCATTCTAGTCACAGGCATGATTCCTGAGATGACCAAAAGTTGTTTCCTTTCTTTAGGACTCCTTCAGCTTTTGGCAATCTTCTGAAATATCTTCTCAGGCAGTATGACTTAAGCCTATATGTAACACATGCAATGGATGCTTGTCTGCAGTCCTTTCACTTGTAACCAGTCTGTCAGCCATATGTTGCTTTTGCTTCAGAACAGCCAGACTCAGTCTTGGTATTACTTTGTCCCCTATAGAATGCTTTCTTAATGTGCTCTTTTATGAGGAGTCCCTGGTGAAGATGGTCTCTTTCACTGTTTGCTTGTGCTTGACCTTCTCAAGGGTTTGGCTGAATATCCAACCTTGAGTATGTTCCTTAGCACACGTTTCTTTCTATTGAGTTTTCCAATAGGTTTTGCAGCAGCCATATCAAAGAAAGTAAATTTCTGTGGTCACAGGATGTTTTGTTTCCAGTGGTGTAGAAAGTCTCCTGCTTCTCTCTGCTTTGATACATGGTTCCACTTCTGTCTCTTCCACTCTTGCTCTCTTAAAATCAGTTAATTCTCCATCTGGATCCAAAATGCTGATGCCAAAATCTCATTGCTGAAGAACTCTGTTGCTACACTGGGTTCCAAACTACCTTTTTCAGACCTTGTATCCTTTTGTCCAATACAGTCATCAGATTGCACTTTATGTACTGGAAGTTTCTGTCGTCACGCAGGAGAAGGAACATAACACATCCCTTCTAGATCATGGTGGCTGTTCTATTTCTGGATGTTGGCCTGGGTACATTGAACTGTACCTTCTGAACCTTGTACGCTCCCCTATAAATTCCTTAGGTTATCTCCTCTGTGCCTTCCTTGAGTGTGCTTGGTATCTGACTTGCCTATTGAGCCTTGCTTGTGAAACTAATGAAATTACTTGTTGTGGGAAGAAGTACTGTTTTCTGGAGTTGAATGGAGTCAATCTTCATTTAGACTAGTGATTTACTGTCCAGGAAAAACTTAACTTTCTGTGGCAGAGATGTTGCTTCTGTTTCTCTCGGATCAGCAGCCAAGCTTTATAGAAATCCTTGCATCTGAGTGAGTCTGTATAAATTGTCTGTCTTGTAGCACTTAGTCATACTCCTCGCTTTTCTGGAGTAGAGGTAGAGATTATACTTAGTCATTCAAAACTTAAGGAGCACATATTTCTGTAAAAAAAAATTGCAGTTAGCTTGATCCAGTGTGGCCTCTACACTGATTTTGGGGCCAAGAAATCTGAGACTTCCCTTACAAATGTATAAGGAATATTCCAGGCCTCCATGTGGTGGAGGACTCCAAGCTTCCACATAGTGATACATGCTAAGTAACAGGGATGATTAAGTGATGTGGTGTGTAGAGAATATGCCGCTAAATGGGAAACGTTGCAGTTGCCTTATATAAATTGCCTTTCATACATCAAGACAGATAAGAGTCTTGGATATAGTGGGAAATTATTTTAGTAACCTCCTGCACAGTGTGGTGATGCAAGATTAGATTTTCTTTTTGTAGGCTTCCTATGATTTAATCTTTGTTTTTTTTTGTCTCTTCCAGAAATCAAGAAGCCACCAGTGGCCCCCAAACCAAAATTTGTGCTAGGACACAAAGCAGCACCTCCTCCCCCTGTTGCCCCTAAGCCGGATATTGGGCTTTCTGGTGTTATGCAAACAACAAGGAAAACGAAGCCAGCGATAGCACCAAAACCAAAGGTTCTCAAGAGCTCGTCCATTCCAGAAGTGAAGCCTCCATCATCTTTAAGCAAAAGCACCAAAAGCTTAGAAGAGCACAAAGGAGATTCTTCTGAAACTCTAGATCACCTAAACTATAAGAATGGAGCCCCAGGAGAAGATACCAGAAATACTACTTACATCATACCAGTGTCTTCATGCAATTTTGAATGCCTTCATAAGCTTGGGAATGGTGAAAGTACATGTAAAACTCAGATAACATTTGAACACTTGGAACATTTAGGGAACATCAAACTGGGTGAACAAAATGCATCGCCTATGAGAAACAGGGTACAGAGTGAAAAACTGGCAAATAGAAATCATGTAGTTTTAAAGGCCAGTTTCCTGGAAGAGAAACTTAAAGATGTTTTGACACAAAGTGTATTTCCTAATACCAGTCCTTTGAGGCACAGGTATACAGATAAACTTGAAAGAGGCAATAACAGTGAAGTTAAAATAGAAATTACAGATCTTGTACAATCTTCTGAGTGTGAAGAAGCCACAGGTAAACAACAAAACAACCACAATAAGAGAGCTGCTGATGAGTTTCAAATGACTGAAACCTGTCCTCATTTGACTCAAAACAACTACAATTTCTCTTGCCCGGTGGACCAAGAAAACCTGGAGAATGTCAAAGTAAATAGTAATATTGCACTTTTGGGTGGAGTTGGTATGAAAACAGATGGTGATAAACATGCATCTTCCCCAGAAATATGTTCGACACCTAGCTTAAAAGTGCTTCCAGTTCCAAAACCAAGAAAAACATGGGCTGCATGTCTTGTACGTCAAGATGGCATAGATGCGGTAGGAGAAGGAACAAGAGAACCAGTGTGTTCAGAGGGTAATTCCTTTGGCCCTCCTGAACACAACTTTAAGAAAACTGCAAAAATAAATGTTATTAGTCAGAGTGTTTCATATAATGATCATCTGGACAATGTGCATCAGGCTGATAAATCTGAGAGAGTGCATCCAGGGAAGGAACCTACTGACACTGAAGAGTTAGCTTCACAAAATCTTGTTCCTCAGGTTCTGCATGAAACTTCTAACCTGGTAGAAAATGTTGGACATTCCTTAGACAAGGACCTTAATTTAATAAATCCTGCAGATAAAATAACAGATGATTCTAGTATGCTGGCTGCTGTGGACAAAAGGACTAATTTTATAAGGACTAATACGCTGTCCATGAGTTTGCCTAAGCAACTCAAATTGGCTTGCAATCAACACTTTCCAGCCTCCAATAGCCTTGATATTTCTGCACAAAAAACAGAAGATAGAGAGATTAATGTAAAAGGTGAAAGTTCACCAAGGATTGCTCCAAAAAAGCCACAAAGACACAGTTTACCCGCTGCTGGACTGCTGAAGAAAGCTGCGTCAGAGGAGCTTATTGAGAAAAGTTCTTACGTTTCTAGTGAAGACAAAAAATCTGAAAGTGTTCTAGAAGGAACTCGCATAAGGCACACATCAGCCAAAGAACAAGACCTGTCATCTTCCTGTGATGTACCCAAACGTGCTTCAGAGAAACCGGTCTGGAAATTACCTCGTCCTATTCTGCCTTTTTCAGGCAATCCGGAGTCATTAAAAATGGCCAATATTGCTACAAGCTACGAACTTCCAACTGCTGTGACCAAGCCCAGAGCCAAATCTCTGTCCTCTGTGGATATGGACAGAATACATAAGCCTTCCAAAGACCCTCAGAAGAAAAATTCTTTGAAGAAGTTCCTCAATATGAAACTGTCAGTTTGCATTATGAAAAGTGACTTCCATAAATTTTTGTCCAAAGGAAGTCAGTCCCTGGATGGTGCTATATCCAGCCTTTCTATGGGGGAAGGGAACAGGGTTGGAAACAGCCAGAATGTAGCATTCACAGCAAATGAAAAGAAAACTAAATCTGCTAAGGCACATTCTGTAGAAACGGGCAGCCCAGCATCACAAAAGAAAAGACATAGACACAGGAGTCAGCATGAGTCAGCAAGTAGTCAAAGGACAGTGTCTTTAGATGAGCAAATATTCTCTGTGGAGCAGTTATCGCAAACATTCTCAAATTGTCCAGCGAGCAATTGTGCACCAGAATATGGAAATGTGCCTCACTATGAAGATATCCCAGAGTATGAGAACCTACCTTTTGCTGCAGGTTATGCTAAAAGTCCATGTTTTGAATGGCAGAACTCCAGCAGTGTAGAATACCATGGAACACATGTATATGAGGTGGAAGAACCATACGAAGCTACAAACAACCATTCAAGATGTCACAGGTAATGTAGGAGGAAGGAAATGGAGATAAAATAATCTAAAAATACTTTGTTGGCACATACGCAGCTTTGTTATTGCATAACAGCAATACAATCCGAAGTCCTGTGGATTTTTCCTACATAATTTAATGTGGTAGCTATTTGTGGCCCTGAAAGGCTTCTTCCTGGTGAAACAGCTTGTGGGTTTGCTTGTAGACTTTTTTTTTGTCAATTAAAGCTAAATTTCATCACTCCTAATATGCCTTCAGAATTGCAGTTAGATGCGCTTACAAGTTCACTCTGAAGTTTAGAGTATTATTAAACATAATCTGATGGTAATGTTTAACTGGTGCTTAAATTAACTGTGAAAAAGAGGGCTAAGACCAAGAATGAACACATTTAAATGTTCAGGGGCTAAGCAGTTAAATGGGAAATTTTCTGTGCAACTTGTGTAGAATGTTATTTAAAGTTTATGTTTCTGTGACTTTATACTCAAAGGTCATTTTAGGATATGGTGGGTCGGATTTTGAATGGAATTAGACAGCTATTTTTAACTTAGTGCCCTGTAAAAAAAAAAAATAAAAATGATAATAACAAAAATGTGAAACTAGTGCAAGGAATGACAGGATATGAACCTGGTAGAAGTAGCGTTTATGGAGAGGAACTGTGGGGCAAGTGTGTAGGCCAGTGTTTCTTAACTAGGGTGCTGTGGAGAGTTATGCAATGTTAGCGCTGATGGTGTACAAACATGATTCACAAGATAAGCCCAGAGATTCCAAATAGGAATCCATAGTGTTAAAAAGATTCTTTCCTGTTGTGGTTTTCCCGAGTTCTTTGCAACAGAAGACTTCGTCTATTATTTTTCTGTGTTCAAAAATAGAGTGAAAACCAAGAGGTAGTATTTTCCAAGGGGATCCTTTAGCCTGTCAAAGGTTGCTTTGAGTTTTAAAAAGATTAAGAACCACTGATAATATACTGTTTTCATAAGCAATAACAGTTTAATTGTTGAACTTGCCCTTACTTTACATGTAGCTAATACAAATACCTTTACATTTTTTTTTTTTTAAATGGCTAACACGTGCTCTAAGTAGTTCAAGGACTTAGTGTTTTACAATGTAAGTGTGTTTCTATAATGTTTTTTTTAATAAGCATCAACTTGCTTGGTGAATTAGATTCCTCATTTGCATTAGATTACTTGCCTATTTTAGGAAGGTGGGGGGAACTGGGAAAAATTACATCTCCAGATTTCACAATGCCATAGTCTTGGGCGTGACATTTCTATATATTTAGCAATTTGTTCAAGTTTTTGTATGATTTACAGTATTATTTTTTGTTTGTTTGTTTGTTTACTGAAATAAGGTGACTGATTCTGCTGTGGCTTATTTGCATTTTAGGTGTGAGATCCGGTGTAGTCATGATGGTCCACAAAATATAACAAAAGGCATGGGTTTTTGTGATATCCATTGTTGGACCAGCAGCATAGTTGGGAAAGATGTCAGATGCTTCCTAATGCATTTATCTTGCCTTTTTAGCTAGTTCTAATAGAGTTCCTGCTCTTTTTACAGCTATGCTCCATTTCTTTAAGTTTTTATTTACACCTGGAGTTTTAAAATGTCCTGCACTGGAATTTCCAGAAGTACTTGGGGCCAGCCTAACTTCACTCTGATTGAAGTTTCCCCTCCCCTTCACTAGGAAAGAGAATGGAGTTAGACCTGTAGGGTTCTAAGGCAGTTTATAAACCACTGGGTTTGTGTTGTCTTCTGTGTTTACTTACAAAGGTGATTGTGTTGTTTGTATCAAACTTGTTCATTGCTTTGGAGAAAAGGGTGTGATCAAGGAAAATTTTGAGAGAAACTGAGAAATTAAGGTACCTTGACATTTGTTCTGTGGGTTGGACCAATGCAGGAAGCTGGGTCAAAGAGTTAAGGGATATTTCCTTGGTCAGTATCAGTTTGAAAACAGTTTTAAATGGGAGTAAAGAAGACTTGTTGCCTTGGTTTTATATAAGTGAAGTGAAGTGCCTGGGGAATGGAAATTGCATATAAAAGTGCATGACACGTTTTGATTATCCCAATTAGCTGGTTATACCATATTACAATTATTGCATTCCTCCTTATTTTTTAAGAAGTGCATGTGCAGACTTGAATAAATTGCTAAGTAAGTGCTTATTATGTTGCAGTGGCAATCTTCAGTCCGGGTTTTTTATACTACTGTAGCAGGTTTGTAATTCAGCTGTGGACTTTCAAAGGAATAGCACTTGTTTTATTTCTCCAAATGACAGAGAAATTGTAATTTTCTATTTCCTTCTTTTTATAGTAATAAAATATTTTTGTACAAAATGAGAGAAAGGGAGGGGAAGAAAGGCAAAGCTGTCTGAAAATTAAAGTTAAAAATCAAGTGGAAACCTACCAACAATCTAAAGATACAAAGGAAAATTCAGCATGACTCAGAACATGTCATATGACATAGAGCAAAGATTTAAACTTTCCTGCATCTATGGGGACTTTTTTGAAAAGTTGTTGTCCAAGGCAAGGGAATTATACTTCAGGGCTAGTTACTCTAGTCATGGGGCAGGCAATTATTTTGGGCAGAGAGCCGCTTACCCAGTTTTGCTAGGCTGTCGAGGGCTGCATAGGGAGCCCCGCCCCTTGACAGGAGCCCCGCTCCCTGGTCACCATCTTGGGACCAATGTCCCAGGGTCAGCACCAACGGGGCCCAAAGCAGGGCAAAGGCTGGCAGGGGTCTGTGGAGCTGGGCTGGGTTGCACCAGCAGGGAGAGAGGGGAGCTGGCCCGGCTCCATAGAGCCTGCTGGCTGGGACCCTGGGCTCCTGCCACCCTGCTCTGGGCCCTACTGGCACTGGCCCCAGGGCACTGGTGCGGGCCCTGTGCTCCCGCTGGCTCCCTACCCACTCACTCCCAGTGCCCCCCAGCCCCGCAGTACAGGCGGGGGGCAGCGCACAGCCCCGACCCCCTGCTCTCTGGCAGGGAAGAAGCTGGTGCTGAGTGCAGGGAAAAGTGGCCCCTTGCCCATCCCATGGCCGGCGCTCCCTGCTGCAGGTACTCACAGCCCACGCAGGGCTGTCTGGAGCAGGCACAGGCAGCCCCATGCGGGCTGCAAGCGGCTGCAGCGTGGTGCGCTAGCCACGGGATGGGTGAGGGGCCACTTTTTCCCACACTCAGGACCAGCTTGTAACCCGGCCCCACTGCCAGCCTGGGCCCTGCATTGGCTCCAGACTCGCCTGTCAGGGCTGCGTGTGGTGGCAGCAGCTGCAGCCCCCCCACTTGCTGCACCAGGCAGTGTTGGCTGCTGCATCCCACCTGGAGCTCGCATGCAGGGCAACCCAGAGGCAACAGTGGGAAACACTGCCTGGCATGGCAAGCAGGGGGCTACAGCTGCAGTTGCCACATGCAGCCCCTATGGGTGAGCCTGGAGCCATGCAGGGCCCAGGCTGGTAGCAGGGCCGGGTTACAAGCTGGGGCTGAGTGTGGGGGTGGGGAAGCGGCCCCTTGCCTGCCCTGTGGCCAGCGCCTCACACTGCAGCTGCTCACAGCCCATGTGGGGCTGCCTGTTCCTGCTCTGGACAGCCCTGCACGGGCTGTGAGCAGCTGCAGCGTGGGGTGCCAGCCACAAGGCGGGTGAGATGCTGTTTTTCCCCGCGTCGGGAAGGAGCCTGGGGAAAAGCTGAGCACGGGGGTGGGAAAAGCGGCCATTTCCCCCACCCCGTGGCCGGCAATCCCTGTTGCAGCCACTTGCAGCCCGTGCTTGGTTTCCCGCGCCAAGGCAGCCATGTGGTCCCAGGCCAAAAGCCCGAGCTGGGGCTTCCAGTGGGGCCAAGCGGGCCCTAATGTTGTGGGAGCTTGCCGGGCTTCCCCTGGGTCCTACGGCCCTTGGTTCCTGTCATTTTTGATAGATTAATATTCATTTTCTAAATTTGTTTTATGGGCCCTGCAGGCCAGATAGAATAGCCTTGCAGGCCATACTTTGCCCAGTCCTGCTCTTTATTTCTTCAGCCCTTCAGGGAATAGTGCACTATATTTTCTGGATATTTTGACAGCATTTTTACTGAGTTTCTGTAACCATACATACTCTTTGATTGTTTTGACTATGGACAGCTCTAAATTTAGTCATTAGTGTAAATTTTCATTGCATTGCCCCCACTACAACCCATTGCCTGATATGTAGAGCTTTTGAAATTTCTTTCAAAAGAGAAATCCTGAATTTAATAATGCCCTTTTACTTTCTCTTAAGCTCTGATTTTAGAATGTGTTTTCTAGAGCTAAAGTATAAATTAATTAAAATATAGTTAATAAAATCCCATATCAATCCTATTTAAAGCTTAACTTTATTGATTGAGTTGTGAGGTTATATACCCCTTTATAGATACCTTGTCAGAATATTGAGTGCTAAATAATGCCTGCTTTGTAAGGGTGTGCAAAGCGGGCAGTATTTGATTCAGATTTGGATTCAACACAATTTGGGGGACAGTGATTTGCTGATTCTGATCACTTCCCTGATTCGGTTTGACCAAATCTGAAGACTTTATTCTGCTCAGTGATTAGCCACAGGGGGACCCTGGGTGCCCCCCCC